GGTTTAGTAAATAAAGTTCTATTGGAACACAGCCACACCTGGTCTTTTGCATATTGTGTATAGCTGCTTGTTTGCTACAACAGCAAAGTTGAGCAGTTAAGACAGAAAGCATAAGGCATGCAAAGTAAAAATTATTTACTATTTGGTCCTTTATAGAAAAGATTTGCCTTTGTATTGCTATATTATATGCATGTACAAATATGTAAAACAAATCCTATATTATGTACAACTGTAATGCATCAATACAAAAATATGGGGGGTCACCAGTCTCTGCGTTATACTTTTGTGGGGGGTTTTGTTTTTGTTGTTGTTTGTTTTGTTTTCAGTACTAGGGATTAAATCCAGGGATGATCAACCATTGGACTACGTCCTCAGCCCTTTTTTTAAAAAAAATTGTCTTTATATATATTTTGAGACAGGGTCTTGCTAAATTGTGGAGGCTAGCTTAGAACTTGCAATCTTCCTGCCTCAGCCTTTTGAGTAACTGGTATTACCCATGTGGGACACCATGCCCAGCTACTTTAAACTCTTGAAAACAACAGATCATGTATCTTTCATTACTTTATCTCCCATACTGGTATGATATCTGAAACCAAAAAAAATTCAATAAATAATTATTAAATGAATGTTTGATTGAATGAGAACACATATATATTCTGTTCTTAAAAAGAGCATAGACTTTAGAGTCACCTAGAGAATCAAATCCTAGTTTAAGCTTTGTGACCACAGAAAGTCACTTATCTATCGGAATCTTACTTTCTACTTGAAGATGGTAATATTTATATTGCAGGGTTTTGGAGAAAATCCAATAAACCCATATATAGTATGTATCTGGAACTCCAATCCCTAATAGCTAACAGTTTCTCAATAAAATATGATATCTGATAATTCAACATTAACAAATGTTTATAAAGTACCATTATGTACCCAACATATTGTTTTGATACTGGGTATCAAGTAACCATTGATAGTTTCAGAGTCCAAGACCTCACAGAACTTACACTAGTGGGGAAGAGAGTCAATGTGTAAACAAATAAGTTTAAATATTTTAGATTATGTCAATTGCCAATGAAGTAATTGACTATGGAGAGAAGCTTCTTTAGAGGGGATAGCCAGTGGGGCTGATAACAAGGTAACATTTAATCTGATGCTCTGTTAAAAAAAAAAAAAAAAAAAAAACAATGAAGAGAGCATTCAAATTCAAGGCAGAGGGTAAGTTATAAGCAACTCTGGAGAGGGACTGAGCATGACCTCGTCAAGAAAGTGAGGAAAAACCAGTTGTGTCTGTGGCACAGGAGGCTGTAGAAGAACAAAGTAGAAGTTGAGGTCAAGAAATAAGCAGAGATAACCAACCATGCAGAATCTGCCAGCCATAGAAAAGAATGTGAACTCAATTATATAGAAACTAGAAAACTATTCCAGGATTTCACACAAGGAATAAAAAGATCCAATTCATGTTAGTAATTAAGAAATGGATTAAATCAAAGAAGGAATGGAAACTAGAAGAGCAGTTTGGAGGTTACCACAGTAGAATAAACAAAAAAAGATGGTAGTATGGCTCAGAATTGTAGAGATGGTGAGATAGAAATAAATGGTGGGTGACCTAGTCATCTGTAAGTCTCAGATTCTTAGACAGCCAAAGCTGTATTGCCATATAGAATTTAATAATGCTATACTTAATTATGAAAGTATGCCTTTTTTAAATCAAATAATATGATTTTATGCTAGTGTGCTGAGATTAAGGAATATTTTTTCTAAACAAATCTAATTACTAAACTATTTTTAGATTGCTCTGATATACTTACGGCAAAATTTCTCTACCTATCACCTTTCACCTTCTTTTTTTTTGATACCAAGGATTGAACTTAACCACCGAGCCACATGTGTCCAGCTCTATTTTGTCCTTTTTTTTTAAATTTAGAGTCGAGGTCTCACTGAGTTGCTTAGCGCCTTGAGGTTGCTGAGGCTGGCTTTGAACTGCCTCAGCCTCCTGAGCCACTGGGATGACAGTCAAGCTCTACCACGCTCACACTTTAATCTGTTATTTTGACAAGAGATTGTGCTGTGTTGAGATTATTCTTTCTCTTGGGTTCTGAAAGGCCAGAACCTACCTGAGGAATCTAGACACTTGGAACTTATTTGCTTTCAAAGACCTGTAATTTTATAAAACTCAGTATCTCACCTTCAAGATTATTGGTAAATTAGAGTTATTGGGTAATGGATGCTGTTCTGTAAGAAAACAGAGGATAGAAGGTGACTTCTACCCATAGTTTTGTAGACAATGCTAGCATAAGTTTCCATTTTTTATGCAAACATGAAAACATGGTGCTTATTCTAAATCAAAATAATGTGCATGCCAATGTGTTATTCTGTAGGTGTAGACTTTAAATATTCCTGGAGAGTCTTCTCTTAAGCTTTTTCTTCTACTTGTAGATGAACTTATACTCTTACTTTAATTTCTTCCTTGTATAACACTGTTGTATGAGTATTATGAAGAAAGAGATGGCTAAAAGGAGTAGGGGCCAGTTAAGAAGTTCTCACCTCGCTATGAGGGATAAGGTACACACATACATTGCTGGTGGGACTGCAAATTAGCATAACCACTGTAGAAAGCAGTGTGCAGATTCCTCAATAAACTAGAATTGGAGCCACTGTATGATCAAACTATCTTAGTATTTATCCAGAAGGATCAAAATCATCATACTATAACAATATAGTTACTTCAATGTTTATAACAGCACAATTCACAGTAGCCAAATTTTGAAATCAACCCAGATGTCTGTTGATAGATGAATGGATCAAGAAAATATTACCTACACATACAATGAAATTTACTCAGCCATAAAGAAGAATGTAAATAATGGCATTTGCCAGTAAATGATAGAAATAGAGAAAAAAATCACGTTGAGTAAAATAAGCCAGACTTAGAAAATCAAAAGCCAGAAATTTTCTCTCATAGGTGGGTGCTAGAGTAAAATAAGGAAAAGAAGGAGATGGGGAAAGGGATAGGGCATCATAAAGATATAGGGAAAATCAAGGGGATAGAAGAAGTAGAACAAAAGGGAGGAAAGAAAGAGTAAAATGGGAAGAAGTAAATGAATTTAAGAAAATCATAATATATACATATATAAATATACCAAAAAGAATTGTACTTTTATGGACATACAGCAAATACCAATCAAATATAAATAAATCAAGGAGTGAAAGGAAGATAAATAGAAGAGAAAGAGGAGAAGAGGGAGAGGGAGGAGGAGAGTGAAAGGGAGGATGGGAATTGAAATTAAATGTTTTACATATTATTTGGTCAAAATTAATCCAAATACTATATAATTATAATGTTCCAGTTTAAAAAAAGAAGTCCACCCTCAAAATAAAGCAGGTGTAAAAATTAGTGTGTTTCTTACTTTATATTCTTATGTTATATATACCCCTTCTCAATAGCTTATACGTCCATTCACAGATTAAGTGTTATTAATGGGAAATTCCATAGAGGAATGAATAATGTTTGGGGAATTCTGGCCATGATATTCTTATACTATTTGTATTCTGACTGGTTTGCATTTGTTTACTAAGGGACAAGGAGAGGAAAGGGAAATATCACTTTGCTTTTATATCCATTTTTTCTAATTTCAAACATGAGATACTTGTACTCACATTTGTTTTGTTATTGTTGTTGTTGTTTTTAGTATTTTTTTCATTGTTGACCTTTATTTATTATATTTATTTATATGTGGTACTGAGAATCGAAACCCAGTGCCTCGCACATGCCAGGCAAGTAGGCAAGTGTGCTACCTCTGAGCCACAGCCCAAGCCCTCACATTTGTCTATGTTATTAAATTTCCTATACATTAAAAAGCAATACTTAATTTTCAATTCAGTTTTTACCACCACTCAAAATACTGAACACTTGCCAAGGGCCAGAATCTAATCTGCATGGTGTAAATTTATTATTACAAAGCAACTAGCAAATGTTTTGCAAGGTGAAATCATAGTGGCCATTTTACGCTTGAGAAAACTGAGGGTTTGAGGGGCTTTTCCAGATGCATACGTCTGATAAATACAACTGGTTTGAACAACCAAGGAACATTCTTTTATCCTAGGCTAATAAGTAGTTGTGGCTGGCTAAAGGTTAAAGTTCTTTGTTAATGAGGTCAAAGTCATAAATGTGAATGTTAAGTGGAGGCTTTCCTCTGTTTCATAACTGGAAGTTTAACATTTAACCCTAGCTGGGCCACATGTGCTGCTGCTCACAGGAGTCATGAGGCAAAGAGTGGGTGGTGCAATATAAATCCATCACCAATGCTGAAGCAGGACTCAGAACACGTTTCCTGGTAGCTAAAATCATCATCTTTTTCTAAAAACAATAATGTTCTACTTTAGCTAGGAAATCTTCTGTAGTTTTTCACTTCAGTAGTCAGGCATGGAAAAAGAAAATTATAGAATGGTTAGGGTGGATGTCACCAGTATATCTAGAGTTTAGTCTTTTCATTGACAGATAAGAGAACAAATTAAAATTCATATAGGGAGGGGCTGGGGTTGTAGCTCAATGGTAGAGCACTTGCCTATCATGTATGAGGCACTGAGTTTGATTCTCAGCAGCACATATAAATAAATAAACTAAAGGTCCATTGAAAACTAAAAATCATTTTTTAAAAAATTATATAGGGACAGAAGCAGGGGTTATTGGATTATTTCCTCTAAAGTCTCTAAGCCAGAGGTAACAAGCAAAAAATAGAATTCATTTTTTCTGACTGGTTCATAACTCCTACAAAACTAGGGAGAGGAGGTACCATAGTCCCAGGCCTGAGAGAAATGATCTGCTAGCCCACATATGAATATGGGGAACATGTAGCTAATTGCTACCTCCAGATGTAGAAGGAAAAATGGAGATCATTTTTTCTATGTCTTTTCCCAATTTCCAGTGTGTTTTAGTCAGCTTTTTCACTGCTATGACTGAAAGATCTGACCAGAACAATTTTAGGGAAGAAAAGTTTATTTGAGGGCTCACAGTTTCAGAGGTCTTAGTCCATAAAATGGTGGCTCTGCTCCTCAGGGCTCAAGGCGAGGCAGAACATCTTGGCAGAATAGTGTAGCAGAGGGAACCAGTTCACATGATGATCAGAAAGCTGGGTGGTGGGGGAAGAAAGAGAGAGAGAGAGAGAAACTACTTCCTCCAGCCACACCCCACCTGCCTCCAGTTACCACTTCCTTTACCCCATGGGGGGGATTAATCCACTGATTAGGTTAAGGCTAAAACCCAATTGTTCCTCCTCCAAACCTTCTTTATTGTCTCACACATGAGCTTTTGGGAGACACCACATCTAAACAATAACACAGTGAAAACCTATACATTTATTTATTTCCCATAAGCTTATTGAAATTTACATTTAAAATTTTCCTTCTTTACATTATTTGTTTCCCCTTTCTTCTTTTTAGAATCCTAAACCCCTTTCTATAAACAATAATCCCAAGGTTGTCTTTCATCTATAAAATACCAACCAGCCTCTCCCCACTTGTATTGTTTCAAGAATCATTCATATTCTAAATTCCTTGACTTTCTTCACATAGAAAATTCTAGAAAAAATTTTAAAAGTGAGTGATTTTATAGAAGTTCTGATTTCTAACAGATGTCTTTGTGTAGGTGAATTGTCCTTCCACCTTTAAATTGTATAGTATGGCAGGCAGTTAACAATGATAGGCAAGAAACCAGCAGTTGTACAGAAAGAAAAGTAAGGTCAGGATCTAAATTTTTAGTATATACACGACTTATGATGATTCTACTATGTTAAAATCACTTTTTTTCCTCAAATGAACTCAGCATAAGTGAAGAGAAAGGAATTGGATGGGATACCATTAATAAAAAGATTTAATTCAACATCAGATTTCAATATTACTTTTAAAATTAACTTTATATCTCCATAACATCTAACTGAAAACTACAAATAAAATAACTATATAGGCCTTATTCAGATTTATGACATTGTTGTTTGAATTACTCATAAACATGAAACAACAAAGAAAGAGTTCTTTTTGATTTATTTGTGCCTGTGTTTCTCAACTATAATAAGCATCAGGGTTACCTAGAGGGCTTACTAAATACATAGATTACTGGGCTTCCCCTTCTAGAATTTAGGATTCTATAGATATGGGAAGGGCCTGAGAAGTTGCATTTCCAACAAATTCTCACATGAGACTTGTTCGAGATCACAGTTTGAGAACTGAATTAGACCAATAAAGAGTCTAATTCTGTTTTGGTGTGGGTAGACACCTTAACACAAAAATAACTGTAAACACTAACCATTTGGCAAGAATCAGATTTGGATTTTATAAATACTTGAGGGAATTATTATAGGAAATTTTACTTTGCCTCTTTTTGAAAAATTACAATAGTACAGGCAAGCTTCGAGTTACTCATTCCCAATAAGAATATCAAATCTAATTCCAAATAGATATTTGGAAAACAATAAAATATTTATGAATGCAACTGATCTTGTGTTCACCTACCAACTGTTCTTGGATACTTGGAGTTTGTAGTTCAAATTATGCGAATGATACATAATTTTCATAATGTACAAATGAGAAATATTAAAAGAAAGAAGAGACAAACACTCAACAGTTTTGTTATTAGGAACTACCTGGGTGGTACCATTCATTCTGCCGTGTTATCCTCCTGGTTGAAGTTAAAGTCACCCTGCAAAGTAGTCAAAATAAATATTAGCAAGATAAGAAGGAAAAAAATAATCAAGAAAAGATTTATGTAAATAATTGCTTTGTAACAACTTGCAATATGATTGTAGTTTCTAAGCACTATAGAAATAGTCCCAGGTTTTCTTCCATTTACAAAAAAATTCAGAATTGTAAATATAAATCATGATAATTTATTTCCACAGTCACAGCGTCTGCTTCAACAATGCAGTCTGCAGAGATTTATTGTGCTAGGCAACTGTTTCAGATCCATAGAAGCTGTTTGGGGAGACAGATAAACACAACTTAACTTGAGAAACACTGAAGTTTACTTCAGTGTGGTCTTTATGAATTCTTCCTGGGACTATTTCCTGGATGAAAATAATCTGTTTTGCAGTAGATTTTAGTACCTTTTGTTATAGACTTTCTATGCTCACAGCCTTAAGCAGGAACTTCAGACTTCACTGCCTCAGGTTTCTGCAGAAAAGCCAGTAACCATCATGAAAGGATTTTATAATTTAAGGTGAAAAGGCATGATTATGAGTCTCAAAACCCTAAGTGCCAAAAAGCATTTTAAACAGGAGAAGACTGACAGGCCTGTCAGTGGTAATGCATCTATATTTGCATCTGACCTAAAAGCCCTTTCAACATCTGCAAGGACGAAAAAGAAAGAAAGGAAAAAAAAAAAAAAAGATCAACCAAAGAAAGGTTGTCTCGAGATGAAAGGTTAACAATGCAGGAAACTATCTGGTTCTGGCAGGAGATCCTGACATCCCAAATGCAATTGTAGCCTAGAATCCCACACTCATTGGAAGAAGCTTTATCTTTGGGATTATATATTTGTTTTCTTTCGGCTAAAGTCAGGGCAAAGTGGACAAAAACAACATATTTTACAACTTTTAAACTGCAGTGAACCCACAGGCAGTGGTTCAAAGATGAAGACTGAGTTGTCTGTCAACTTGGATAGATGTCTTCTTTAGTGACTAACTTCCCTCAGGTTTGGTCATGGTATTTGTAATTATTTCTTAGCATAAGGGATTGGGGAAAAAAAGTATCAGTTTCATCAAATTGACAACAGGTCAAAGTCTTTGTTGACAAAGTTTGGATGGCAGAAGTAAAAAATATTTTAAACTTGACTTTTTAATTCTGTTTAAAATGCATGAAATCTATGAATAAAAAATGCATGAAATCTATGAATAAGTCTTTCAAAGGCATGTCCAAATTGAGAAAAAATATTATTGTTTCATTTATAGATATCTGCTCATTATTCTCAGCTGGCATTGTATCTGGTACATGATGTGGATTCACAGCTTTTCATGCAGAATTTGAAGATAATCTTACTACAGTACAGATTGTAAAAGCATCGAAAATTGATCAAATACATATGCCTTTGTAAGAAGGAAAGTTCTGAAGTAATTTTACAGCATTTTCCAGATATACTTAAGTCCAGTTTCAGCTATAATTAACATAAGGAGAGCTCTCTAGGAGCTATTTACAGAAAGAAATGTCTCTAGGGGTTAGTAAATTGCATGCTTTTGAGGTAATTTCCTTAGGAAGAAGCTTTTATACCTTACTATGAAATCTTTTGGACACCTCCTATGGAGGTTCAGTTGACTTTCATAAACAACATAATGACTACATGTCAAAGAAAGAGTGATAAACTGTGGGTCTTCAAAGAAATAGAAGGAGTCCATGAGCTTTCTTTCGGCTGTTGACATGTATAACATAAAATTAACCCACAAAGGCATTTGGAAATATGTTTTCTTTTGCAAAGGTAGGTAATTATTTTCAATATTACAAAGCAATTGTAGCTTCTTTGTTTTAAATATTCTGTTTATTACTGTTTTGTTAGAGTAGTAGTCCTTCAAAAATGTAAGGATTTTTAAAATATACACATCTTTATTTAAAATCATACTACTGCTCCTCCATAGTATGTGTCAGAATATCATATAATACAATCTGAATTAAAAACTGTCTTTTATTCCCTTTGACACACTTAGTCCTTTTTCATTTACAAACTATCAATTATTGACAACCATGAAATGTAAACATTAAATGATATACCTCAGCTCAGGTGTTCAATATTGATACTGTACATCTCTGATGTTTAATATCACAGATTTCACTTGTTTCTTGTGAGAGAAACAAGGTGTGGAAGATCATGGAATCTTTCATGCAACTTAAAGAAAAAATAGGCTAAATATCTCTTAGTCTAAAGTTCTTAGGAATTAAAGACTATGAAGGGATAAATTCATATATGCAAGTCAATACTCATTTCATTAAAACTTGGAGAATCCGAAATACTCTTCATGTTTTTGACTAGCGTCATATCTTCTGTCTGTCCTTTCCTGAGTGTATACAAATGGGTGTCACTGAAGTTCAAGAACATCTCATCATTTTATGGTAATTTAGTGTAGAATTACATTCAGGTCTGAGCACTTTTCATATGCTGTGTTCTTTTTATAATTTTTAAAATTTATTGAGCTATTCTAAGTGCAACCAAATACTATAAACCAAGATTTTAAGAAAGAAATTATTCTGCCAAAACCAATTAATTAAAAGAAATACAAAATATTTTGAATGAATTAGTTTCAAGAGTAAATATTTCTATATATAATAGAAACATTAGAAATAATCATATTATCTTGAGAATTTAATTCAAAATAGAGTAGGTTTTAGGTTCTAAAAATTAAAATAATAATTATTATATTGAGAAATTGGGTGGCATAATAACATTGCATTAAATTTCTCTAGTGTTTTTTGGAGTTTTCAAAATACTTTCAAATATATCCTCTTGTCTAGTCTTCACAGCAGCTTCATGAGATGAACAGGGCTGGTTACCATTTTCCAAATGGGAGATTAATACTCAAAGTGCTTAAGTTACTTGTCCAAGTTTATGCAACAAAATATGATAAAGCCAAGTCTAGCACTCATATTATCCAGTTTCCAGTCCAATGTTTCTTCTGTGCAGATTCCTAGTATAACAAGACATGGAAATATTTTCAAAGGAAACTCATTGCCAAATTTTATAAACAGATTGATTTCTCACAACACCTGCACAAAAAGCCACTCTCTAAGCCCTCCTTCCCAACATCTATATCATTCACAGTCACTCCCCTGGGACTATAGTGACTTCCTGTGATTGAGCAAAATGGAAGGGTTAAGCTCTATCTAGCTAAGTAGGAAGCCTCACGAACCTTCCTCCAGCCTTGTAGCTGGAGTCTTTTTTGAATGATCAGTGGCCATGGGAAACTGTTTGAAAACCAATGTTAAATTAATGTTTGAAAATCATTTTTGGTTTCACCTCCTCAAAATGTACATGTCCAAATCAGTTAGCATGAAAACCATGATAGCTATTTCTAAACTGCTTAGTTCCCTTTGTTTCTTATCATAGTGTGCTTCAAAATAAATTGCCTTAAAGAGTAAAAGTGAAGAAAGTTGTGAAGGTTTTTTTTTTTTGTCATTGACAAGAAACATGTAGAATCTGTGATATATTAAACATCAGAGGTTCACAGCATCATTGGATACATGAGGTGGGGCATAGTGTTTAAAGCTTGCACATGGTAATTGCCACTAATAGTTAATAGTTTAAAGATAAACAAGGAGTACTGTATCTAGGAGGAAATGAAAATTTCCTCAATTTTAATTCAATAAATCAAACGAATATATGGGAGGGGGCTTCCCAAAACGTAGCCTCTTTATTAGGCATTATCGATTCAAATATGGAAAAGAAGGCTTCTTAAGAAGACCAATGTGATACAACACCCTTAGAACAGCCTTTCTTCTTTCCTTTTTCCACTCCTCTGGGTTTCTAACTCTTATGCCCTGGAACCACATCCCCAAATAAACTATCTTGACTCAGATTCTACTTTCCAAGGAGAATCAAGTTAAAATAGATAAAAGATTTTCAGCAGGCAGTTGGAAGTATAGTCTTACAGCACAACAGAGTAGATATTTGAGATACGTATTTGGAAATAATTGTTTAAAAGCAGTATTTAAAGGCTTAGGAGTAGATGGTAGTAAAAGAAAAAGACTGAAAAGGAAAAAACCTGGAAAAAAAGAGAAGAGCTATAAACAAACAAGGAAAAGTGTCATTATCAAGGGCCATAGAGGAACGGTATCCAGTAAAAACTGGAAAAGAAAGAACAGAGAAATAAAGGAAACCAGAAGAAGGTAGTCATGGAGGCCAAGAAAGGAGTTCCTACCAGAAGTTGTTTTCCTTCTGGGTTAGTGCTGTGTTCCACGAGGCCCAACATGAAGGAAAGAGGAAATGTAGAAGACAGCAGGGATGGACTGGGGTTTTATCTCAGTGGTGGAGGACTTGACTCACATATGTGAGGCACTGGGTTCGATCCTCAGCACCACATAAAAAAATAAATAAAGATATTGTGTCCATTTACAACTAAAAAACAAAATTAAAAAAGAAAACAGCAGGGGAAAACACAGAAAGGGAAAACAGTGTGCTACATTAGACACAAACTGTTCTTAGTCATGCTACAGAGCATAACCCATGGGCACACGGACAATGCTGGCCTTTCTTCCAGGCCTATGGAACAAGGAGCTTCTCACCATGACCTCCTGTAGCCTGAGCTGGGGAACAATTCACAGTGGGTGCCTCTGTACATTTTCCTGAGCATAATTTACAAAATAAAGTGTCAATTGCCTGGAAAGTTTATCATCCTCAGTTGATAGTCATCCCAAAATAATCTAGCATATGATAGCAGAGTGACTTTTCAAATTATTAATCTTTTTTCCATAAAAGCAATTTTTGCAATCCTTTATTTACCTGTGCATATCTCTGTGTGTGTATGTGTGTGAAGTTTTTTAAAAATTGGATATATGCCAATATAATAATGATTGTCATTGGGTGCTGGAATTACTAAAAATTTTATCTTTTAAAAATACCTTTATGTATTTTTTGATTTTTTTATATAAGGCATGTTTTGCTCTTATAATTATATAAAAACTGCAACAATTGTTAGGAAAAAAATTCAGTTGCATTATATTAAAAAATCTTTCATAAATTATTTTCTATTTAGCACATTTTATCTTCAATGTGTTGCCCTAAATTTGCTGATGCTTCTATATTGAGACTAGATAAATGCAGATAGATGGGTTTTCATGTCAAAGCAGTTACCTGCAAGTGGAGGTAAAAGTGGAACAGAAAAGTCTCTTGAGTGCTTAGTCAAATAGATTAAGGCAGGAAAACTGTACACTAAAGCAGTTTTCATTGTCCAAGGATTAAAATGTATTAGTCCTTATTGTAAATACGTGGAGTATTAGTTATGCATTTACTTTTCCCTCTAAAGAAAGGTACAAGAGGAAACTGACAAAACTTAATCCTCAAATTACCTAATTTTGAATCATAGTTATTCTCTTCAGAAGGTGATGAGTGGATTTCTTTTGGTTTTGTTTGGTTTTTATTAATTTCATTGGTTCAGGTTAGTGAATGTGTTCACTTTCATCTGGGATGCTGAACATTGAATAGGTTCAGGAGAAATTAATTGATTTTTCTCTGATAGGAACTTAACATGTTTTCTTTTTAAAAGTTTTAAGTGTGAAGAAAATTTAGTAGAAGAAGTGAAATTCTTCAACAAAAGACTTTAATTTACAAGAGACAACTTGTGCTTCCAAAGACACAACTTTGGGGATTTAGTGATGGGTGAAACCTGCAAGTATTAAGAGTCTCCTTGGTTTACTGCACGGGCACCAAATCCCTTCCAGAGTGGTTTGCAATTCCTCAACTTTAAGACCTCTTTCAACCAAGAATAAATAAATTAAAATTGAGGGAAAAAAGAATCAGGAGAATTCTATGTAACAGTTGTTAAAGAAATATATAATGTATTTCTTGTAGAAATAGACAAAACAATCATAAAATTCATATGGAAAAATAAAAGACCCAGAATAGCAAAAACAATGCTAAACAGGAAGTGTGAATCAGGTGGTATAGCAATACCAGACTTCAAACTATACTATAGAGCAATAGTAACAAAAACAGCATGGTACTGGTACCAAAACAGGCGGGTGGACCAATGGTACAGAATAGA